AGCATTACATGGCAACACAGTTTTTAATCTTAAGATGTAATATTGCTGTAAAGTTTACTGTAATGATGCTGTAAATTGTTACTTCACGTTCACAACTTATAAAAGTGAGCTGGTTCATAATATGTGTAGTGTTAAAACATTTTAATTTGGATAAAACTGTTCAATGTTTCTTTAATTAAAGTATAAAGATCCTTTGAAAATGAGATTTTACACCTATTTTCTTCTAAGAAATTAATTACACACAGATGGATTAAAAATGTATCATACCCTCCCTAGTATAGGTGAGGAATGCAAAGTAGGATACAGTTGTAATAATTAATGAAAGCAAACTTTCAATGTAACAAAAATAAAATCCCTCAGATTTTTAACAGAAAATCAAATTATGAATAAAACTTCACTTCAAATCTAACATTTAATTAGACTAATGTTGAATTGTTAGACATCACAACCCCTTGATCATGTTACAACTGTTGCCTTTAAACTGAGTCTTGAGTAATTAAGATGGTACACTGATTACAGTGTATACTACATTTAAAAATATTATTTCACTACTCAGTTTTACAATTTTCCTTATGGTCAACCACTTTGACTTTAATCAAAAATGCATTTTAGTTAGAACTATGTATGATGAAGTAATATAATTAAATGTAGGAAAAGCTGGACACTTACTAATTAAATTTTAAAATACACTTACTTGACACCTCATCAACATATCAAAGAAGTCATCATCTGGCAAGGCTGCGGTATCTACAGACATTCTGTGTAAAAGATGATGATGGCCCAGTGAGTTATTATTATTGTTGATGTGGTTCCTAGCACTAAAACTTCTACAAACTCCTAGCCCAGGGAGAGTTGGTAAGCTTGCTCTCTGTTCATCCATTCTCCGACTCTGCATTCCCGCAATCAGGTCAAAGAGATCTTCTCTTATATTTTGGCCTTCTAGACGAAAAGAAAGAAAGAAGGTAAATTAGACACATTATCAATATTCTTTTAAAAGTGGTAATTTTGATCAACTATTTTTCTTTCATGTGAGATAGTTAAGTGCTGTGTGTGTGTGTGTATATAAAAGACAAATAATATGGATATCCTACCATACCTGGGTGAAAATAAACTGCATCAGAGTACAGTCATGTGTTGATACTTTACACTACGAGTAGTTGTTATTCAATCAATCAGAAGCCACACCAGTATAAAGCCAATATAATACTGTGTTACAAGCATGTAGATATCAAACTTTGGGCTGGTCATGGATACTCCATGTAAACGATTGTGGCAAAACTCCATACTTCAGTAACAGATGCATCTATCCAAGACACTGAAGAGGTTACATGAAACTGGCAATGTTAATAATGGAAGTGGTCAAGGTAGAAAAACAAAATACTCCAAACATGGCATTAAGTATGTCAGGGTATGATCTTTAAGAGATAAACAATGGTTAAATACAAATCTTTTCAACGATCTTGTTATAAGTATAGGTGTGGTTTTTATCTCAAGAGAAGTAAGATACATTAGCACAAAGACATCTTTGTACTCATGTAGCTGCTGAGAAGAGATAACCAAAATGGATTGGAATGGACCACAAAAAGAGGAGCAAGCTGTGTTCTCTTTTTCTGTGAAGCTATACCTAGCAATGTTTACTATAATTCCAAAGTTACTATATGTATCTTCATAAAATTTAGCAAGCCTTTTGTAAACATTACAAGTTTATTATATGCAAAACGTCAGATTTTTATAAACTATTTTTATTAAAGATTTGTCTGTGAATCTGTGGAGTCAGACTAACTCAGACTCCAATAGTCTAACTGCAAAGTGATTTTCATGTTAAAAATTAAGTTTTCATATTTCATTTTGATAACCTCTAAAACATCCTAAATGAATATCAGAAATTTTTTTAAAGTAAAACTTGATATTTTTATCTGTTATTTTCTATACTTTAACACTAATTATAGCACAATTAGCAATGCAGGGTAAAAAGAAAAGTTGCAAAATCCAAATTACCCTTTTTTATTTCTACAAATATTGCATATTGTAACAGACTATTATACACATTATTCTTACAGCTAAAACTAATAGACTTCAAACCTGGGTACATTTAGTTTTATTGTTTTACAGCTACACTTAGACCCTCTCAGAGTACACCAAAAACCATTTATCACAGCAGGACAGCTTTGCATAAGCAAATGGTCAACTAAAAGCATGCCATGGTCATATTACACAATCACACCTCGCAACAAGTGCATCCATTGATAAATAATCATGAGTAATTTTTTTATTAAATTTTTTCCCATTTCTCTTCTAATTAGTTTCTAATTTTTACATATTTTTATAACAATAAGTAAAAAACATACATAAAAAACAAGAAACTTAGTAGTGTCTATAGTTCAAGCCTTTTGCTGTTGGAAGATGAAACACCATAAACCAACTTTACTTTGTAACGATGTTAGTGTTGAAAAATAAAATTTTTTTTTTAAATTTCAAATATGCAATTCAAAACACAAAATATTATACTGCACAAAAAATAGAAAGTTCTAAGACAATTATAATTTAACTGGCTTTCTAAATAAGTTATAAAAGAATTAAAAAATTCCTGTTAGCTGGTTGTGACAAACCCTAACAAAGGCAAACAATGAAACCAATACCAAATATATACAAACATGGCATGTGAATGAATTAGTCTCATAAATAATTGAGTAAATCTAAATCTTCTCTTTCTATTTTTATAAATAACCCATTAACAAATGTCAGAGAATTGTTGATTCTTGAAAGACTGATGGGGCACAGCAGGTGGGTTTGACTTTCTTCTTTATACTTCAGTAAAGCAAGAAGCTTGGAGGCTGTAAATTTTAGTAATATCTAAAGTTTAAGAACATAATTTGTGCCTAATTCAGAAGATCATATACGAATCGAAAGAAAATCTAAAGTTGGCAATTCAGTGAAAAGAATTGTCATATGATAGAGAGAAGTGAAGATTGTGAATTTATCTAAATATTTCCTTTTCAGATTAACAAAATACAACCTACATAATGAAACTTAGTTGAATGGATGGCAACTACCTGTTGTAGAAACACAAGTGTAGAGGAAGGCGTTTCAAAAGTCTTCCGCCTTTCGTCTCCAGGCAGAAGACTTTTAAAACGTCACCCTCTACACTTGTGTTTCTACAACAGGCAGTTGCCATCCATTCAACTAAGTTTCATTGTGAATACTCTGCCTAATCAACCTATCAAAGAAAACCTTCATAATATTAAAATTTGGATTATGAATTACAATTTGATGCCATGTTTACAGACATACATTGATAATGGTTATTTAATTAAATTTTAAATGTAACTCTACAAAAACATCATGACAAAAACTTTGAACCACCACTGCATACATAGAATTAGTAAAGAACCTGTATCAAGAGTTAGAATTTTTGGTGAAAATAATTTTTCTTCTAATAAGATATGATAGGAGAAGCTAAAATGATTTTGTGATGAACTGATCAACGATTCAAATAAATTCTATATTTGAACTTTAAAAGTTCCAATTTATTAGTACAATGTGGTAATTTTACATCTTAAGATCCCATTCACTGTGGATCCTTTTTTGTACTAAAACTATAATTCAGTCAAATGAGAAAATAAGTTACATCTAAAGTAAAATCATGACTATTTTTAACATCCTTTACAAATACTAAATGAAGTCTAGAAGATACACTGAAACAATTAACTTAAAGACTATTTTCGTGATCTCGTTCAAAATTAGATAAAACATAAAACCATCATAAATTTCTATACTGTAAGCCTAATACATACACACACACACACACACATGTACACAAGCATCATTTTTACTAATGGCATATTGTTTTTACCATAAAAAATGCTGTGATTCTAAGAATCTTCTATAGGTGGCATTTCTTTAGAGCAATTTATAAGAAATCTGATTCATCATATCTCGAACCTACCCAAACATCTTTTGGTTCACCAATTAGCAAACGTTTTACCAATCTCTTAAACAACCTGACCAACAGAAAGTAATCACATATGTTAATAAAGGTTATGAAAAAGTTAAGATATCTTTGGAGGATATGACTTTCGATTCAGAAGCAGGTATAGTTTAATCACAGAACTAATATTTTTGTGCATACTTATTGATGAATAACTTTTTAAATTCACAATCCGTACTAAGGTGTTTTGTTTCCTGTATGAGTAGTCTCATCTCTTTAAAAACTTTTATACTGAAGGAGTTTACACTTCAAATGCACAGTAATTGGTTCAGCTCATATCATTCCCCCCCAACTCAACCTTAACATACACCATTCTGTAGTACTAAGTAAACCATGGAGATGTGTTTATGGTTGAAGAATGACTGCTTGTTTTAAAATTACCTAAATATATTTTAATAACTTCTTTCTTAGAGTTGAATGTACACTCTGCATAGTGTTCATGTCCAGCTTAAGATCCTATTGTGTGGGAAATGAGGTGAAAAATACCACAATAAATGACTTTGGAAGATCTTAGGATTACTGGTATGTGTTTTTCTAAATGTCTAATTGTCACCAAAAAATTAAATACATTACAAAGAATACCAATTGCAATACAAAGAAAATAAAATAAAAACACTGTAAAATAATGTGATTAAGCCATTCACTACAAAAAAAATGCATTGAAAAATTTATTTAACTGTATACACTAGCTTTATGTAAAGCAACAGCTTTGAAAAATTGCAAGGTGAATTATTACAGGCTACACTTGGAGTATTGGATTATTCCATCTAGGAAATTTGAATGGTATTCACTGGATGAAAACTTTTTTATATAGATTTCAAGGCTAAGATGTTTTAATCTTGACTCCTAAACAAGTTTAACAATTTATGTGAATCATCATCCCCAGAAAAAGCATTAAAAGATAATAATTTTAGTAAGCAAGATTGTTGAGGGAACATTTCCTATAAATCATCTTGGAATTCCTTGGTTGTGAATGAAAATATAGCTTGTAAGCAAGGGCACTTACTTTAACTATAATCCCAAACATGTAGTTAACACTCAGGGTTCTCAACAGCAGATTTAAGAAAACAAACCTTGATCTTCATTTTCTGACTGCACAGATGAGTATGGTACTGGTGCTACAGAAGTTCCATTTCTTGTATTTTGCTCAAGGAGAGTTTTGGAACATCGCTGATCATCCATTCTCTTACTCTGAAACCGACTAAGCATGTCAAAAAAGGATTCCTCATCAAAAGAGCTGCCCGCAACCTGAAACACACATAAATAAATTTCAACTGCATTAAACAAATCTACATGCATTGCATTAATAAGTTATAACTATGTTTCGTCCTCATGCTAAAGAATAATAATAAAGAAAAAACCTACATTACAGACAGGATTATTAAAATTCGACACATTTTGTAATTTCTTGTACTGAACCTTGTTCCTTTATCCATTAATATTACATGCTTAAAATTATGTGGAATATTTTGTTTCTTGAATAACTATCTGTAAGTGCTCTCCTGTTTTATTATTATATCTAGCGAGTTGAAAAATGACTTTTGACTGTCTCCAACTTTAAAATAATCCAAACTGGATCTATGACTCCTACCAAAAATAAAGCTGGTTTATAATCTTTACTATTTTTCTTATTTTATGTGATTACATTTTGCTATCTACTGACATGGAACAATACTATGCTTAATGTTTTCATTCTTAAGCACTTTTGAGGATGTCATAAATCAACAGAATTTGCACTACATATCCTAATACCAAAAGCTAGGGCCAATTTTAATATATTCTTTTTAAACCTCTTCTACCTAAGAGAACTTCAGACTATCTTCTGATTCAGAAGAACTCTGTCAAAGTCTGCAACTTTCTACTTTTTGCAAAACATCTTTCTAAGAAAATATAAGAAAAACTAGAAAATATTAAGTTTTTTTCTTTTTTTTAATTGATAGTCATAGACTTCTACTTGTTTGTGTTAAATCAAAAGATAGTGGGGAAAAAAAATCACCTTTAAGAAAAAGGTAAGAAATGTACATAAATAATGAGAAGAAATTTTTGATACGCTACCTGCTTCTCAAAAATCATGCAAAAGGTGTGCAACTTTATTGAATAATAAAGCTGATTTTAACTTTTACCTTAAAAAAAAAGGTAATTTCTGGTTATTTTCTGATTCATTGTAATCCTTTTAAGGTCTACAATGTTATCAAACATACATAAAAATAAAAATCATTTCTAGTATTCCTTACCACCACCACCACCCTTTTTCTTATTTACAAGATGACTCTTTACATTTATGATTATATCAAATACTAAAAACTGGTATTTGTTACAGTTTCTTAAATTCTCTTTAAAATAAGATTTTTGTCTACCTTCCGAATCCTGTCAAGATATGTGACTCTAGCAAGAATTAAACCTTAAGTTTTTTCTTCTAGTGTTTTTCTTATATCAGAAAATGATTTTTGGTGTTTTTGACTCAATGAAATCTTGACTGAATTTTAATTTTAGCAAGTAGCTGCTTTAATTCAATTTTTTTTCTTACCTTTTCTTTAGAAGATGACTTCTGGGTTTCTTCTGATTCAGAAGAATCGTGACTAGATCTACGACCCTCCTCATGAAGGAAATTGGTTGCAGGTGTCTCTGCACATGTACCCATATTTTCTTTATTTTCAGCATTCTGAACCTTAAATAAATGATCAATAAAATTATTCTAGTCTCTTCATTTTACAACATCTAAGGATTCTGTTGCATGTTATTTAAAGTAACATTAAAAAAGTAATTTATACTCGTCACCAATTGAGTTAAACCAAAGATTTGGCATAATATTACAGTGAATAAGTTGAAAACTTATCAGAAAACAATAAATGTCTCTCAAGGTGAATAAAATGCTCAATAAAAACAAATAGACTATGGATGAATAAATTCCTTTGGCCAATCAGAATAAAGAAAAACAAATCAAAAACAACTAGATCATACGTAAAGGGAGGAGTAACAAAAAAAAAAAGCTTTCATAATTATTGATGAAGCTTAATCACTAAATACTTATAATGACAGTTAAGCTAGTAGGCTAAACCATCAAATGTACACATAGTATTATTTGGCTGCTTTCCATATGCAACATGCAACAAAATTAAGGTCAAAGTCTCAGGCCAAGTGATTTCAGACAATAAATAATCACTTGCTTTGCTGACATTTATATGCATTAAAAAATATCACCAATATAACAATCAAATGTGGTTAAAATATAAATAGTGGAAGTGACATAGATGACTCCTCACCATTAGTAATGCCACCACCTATTATGGAGGTTGAATATGGTATATTAAAATGATTCTGGAGTTTCCTCACGTCATTATAGTCAGTTTCCACATCCAGTCATGTTCTGTCTTAGGTTTATTCATCTTGACAACAGCTCTGCAGCATAGTTTCCACTACAAAATGCTCTGTCATAAGTCTGTCATGTCTATACCACACCACTCCACCTTTCTTACCTTCCATAGCCCATCTAGTGTACGACGGTATGCCTTTGTAAGGAATAGTACGAATCCTGATTTATTCTCTCGCTACTTAAGGTATGCGATGGTTAAATGAATATGTTGTGGAAGCAACTTATGTACACATGAATTGTATCACATTTTCAAACAGAGATCCTACTTGATTATTGTTTCAAAATGTTTGCCTGGGTCACATGGATGGCTTTTGCCATTGACTTTGTGTTCATGGATTCTCACCTGCTACAAGACCAAACACTTTGCCCACAATGACTACTGCACTTTTTCCAGGTCTTTTTCTGGATGGTTCTGGTGCCCCAAGTTGACCCATATTGTTTTTACTCAAATGTCATTAAGTACAAGGGATATCCCCATCTTCAAAATTCTAAATCCCCAATCTGAACACACCTGAATGTAAGAATATTTTGTGTGTGTGTGAAAGGGCTGTTACATATCCCTTTCAAAAGTGATCAAGTTAAGGTGGCATTACAGTACGTAGGAAACAATGTAGTTCTGCTACATGCCATTCCATCATTACTTAATACTGGCTGTGGTTGTCACATGACTTGCTGATTTGCATATTCAGGATCATTTTAATATAACATACTCAATGCTCTGTAAAAGTTCATGATAGGAGACAATTGATTCATTATGGGATTGATACAGTTAAATATTAAAAGTAACCCATGGCATTAATTATATTGGTCAAACTAGACAAGAAAAAGAAGTTTCTGTCATCAGTGAAATTAATTTCTATCTATCTCTATTACTTTTAAAGTGACAATCTAATTCATTAATGTGATGGAAACTCAACAAAGACACATTTTCAATACTGTCTCAATTATCACAAAGATTCCTATCAATACCAGTTATATTGTGCCTGATCTTAGGATCTGGCAATTTTATGAAGCAAAGAGAAACTGGTTGATTCCACTAAATGCAAAGTGATTACTTTTTACATCACAACATCAATCTCCTGAGTGAGACACCCTAATAAGAAAATGAAAGTTGTGCTATACCTTTAGTAAGTGATAGGCTTAACCATATTGTTACTGGTAGGTCAAAGTGAATAAGTCATGATTGTTTATACAATTGCATTCAAATTTAATTATACTACTTTATTATTAATGTATATTAATAAATTTGGCACCAAAACACAGTTAATAAATCAAATTTTAATGTTATATAATTTTTAATTTCTTAATTCAAAAGAAAATATTTAAATAAGTTCTAAATCTCCTTTTGTATGTGTATCATTACATTCGTTCATTCTGACTCGCGCATTCTCTATTCTTTTTTCATCACCTCTCTCTGATGTCCTGAGATTAATGTAAATTATTCATGAAAGTATAGATGTTTCTAATCCATAGTCTAATTTTTATAGCCTTAAATCTTCTTTGTTTACTGAGGCAAACTAGAAAGTCAGACTCACTTGCCATGCCCACCTATCACATCCTCTCTTTCACAAAGTGCCAATAATTTTCTCTAATGTTTGCTATTACATTAAATCATTTATAACCAACAGAAAGACAAAGGTTTAATTTACTGAATGACTTATAACGCTAACTTGTTCTCAGTAGAGATTTTCACTTATTTTGCACACAGATTGAAAGTTGCTATCGAGTAGCTAAGGGAAATATTTTAAGACACTTATGCCTTACTTAGATAGTCAGTTAAATTATAGTATTTATAAGACATTGTTTACTTTCTGCACAATTAATTTGTGTTCTTGTGTATATTTGTAAGAAATAAAACTGTTTAATATCATTACAAAAAAGTAGGCTTATGTTTCATCAACTAGCTGACAGTAAAAAACTAGAGGTCAAACATATTTATTAAGTTTCTTGGGTTTTATTTGTTATTAAAGTAACTAAAATATAAAAATTAGAACCTTATAAGGATAGATTTGGTTATATAATAATAAAAAAAAAATTCTCCATGAGGTATGCTTGCAAGTAGCTCATGTGTTACATCATTCAAAATGGTAACTTGAGCTATGCATTCATTGTGTGATTTACAGTTTGTATCATGGTATTATTAGTTAGACACAGTTCAAAGAGAAATAAATAATAAAATTAAATACACATATACGATGTAAACCTTTATGAATCTTAAGCTGATTAGGATAAATAACTATAATTTTCTGTTCCAATGTGCAATCATTCTAGAAAGAAAAAAGGATAATTTATATTTATTTCATATTTTCTGTAGTGGTTACAAAGTAGATTGACCAAGTCTGTATAGTTATGGTAGATAAAATATAAAGTTTTATTTAAAAAAAAAACATTTGATATCTATTTAGGAAGTTTTAGAGGTTATGCAAATGAAAGTTTAAGACTTTAAGATTAAAAGAAGTATTTTTAATCTTAACATAAAAAACATCATGCACCCAGACTAGTCAACACTCTTGACTCCATATATTTATGGACAAGTCTTTAGTAATATACTTAATTACAAATTTTTTTTTGTCCATAAGATTTGTAATGTTTACTAAAAACTTGCCAAATTTTGTGAAGGTACATAAAATAAATTAGGAATAATGGTAATTATTAATTCTTCAGTATGGTCTCATGAGCCTGTGTACATAAAGTTAATGATTTATTGATATTATAATAGTTAGAAAAAACTGAGCCAACTAAATACTTTTTCTGATAACAGATCGATATATATTAAAAAGAAAACTCTGCCTTACATTAAAAACTTAAAATGAACATTATTTTTTAAAGTACTACAGTTGATGACTGCTAAGAAAATTGCAATGTTCATTTACCAAACTAAAATTACACTGTTTGACATAAAAAAAATACCAAAAACGAATAGATCTACATACGCATGCACAAAACATGTATAACTAATACCAGTTTCATAATTTTTGTAATATTGATTTTTTTTTAATCTTATTAGTACTAATACTATTCTACATTAATAAAGTAATTAATTAATTGACCCCCTGTGGGTTAGTACATTAACGTTTTTTTATAACTTATTACTTCCTAGAACCTGTAGTAAGTATTTTTTTATGCTGTTCTTATTAAGAGATACAAAAAAGTTCAACTATTTGGCTG